CCAAAGAGAGTTGTATGCGCAAGCATGAATTAAAAAAAAATTTTTTTTATTTGTGAATTTTTTCAGATGGTACTGTGCCCAATGTATGTGCCCAATGTACTGTATTAAAGTTTTTAATAAAAGAAATTGCAACGATGATTTTAGAAGATGAACCAAGTTTAAAAGCACAGGTTGATAAGAGGTAAATCGTAAAGAAATTTGCGGAAATAAAATAAAATAAATTTTCTATTAGTATATTATTAATATTTAATTACTAATAAAAAGTGACAAAAAATTGTTTTTTATAATAAATTATAATAAAGTAAGTATAGAACACGCTTTTTGCCGAATTTTGAATTATTGCAAGTATTTTTTTTTTTTAGAAACTTTATTCAAGATAATAATTTGAGCCCCACGATCATGCTTAATTCTAATATCGCTACATGTTCTCCTTCCACCTCGACTCCAGCAGAGGTAAAAAAATATATGATTTAATACAAACAGCACAAAAGTGTATATATTTATTAATTACTGTTAATAAAGTAGTATGTTATTTTTTGGTAAATTTACAAATTGATATGCGAATTATAGATGTATTTTCAAAACAGTTTTACAATTACACAGGCATATTGCTATAATTTCAATATTAAAGTAAATAATCTTTTATCTCTCATTTATTGTGATATTTCTAAAAGAAAGTTTTCGCATTTGTCGAAAAGGTGTTGGTCAAGCAGGAGAACGAGCTTGACAATATTTGTGAAGCGATGTATGTACATGATCATTGGGAAGCCGTTTTAGATACGGAACAAAAGAAAGAGCAAAATGCTCCGAGGCTTTCCCCATTTTTTTTGCGTAAAAGTGTAAACGCGGAACTAAGGAGTCATTTTGTTGTATATTTAATCCGACTTGGCGTGAGTATAACATGGCACAGTTACGGACTTTCTATACTTTCTATTAATATAATGATATAAAAACTTATTGAAAGCGATGTAAATTTCTATTTCATGCTCATAAACATACAAAAATTATCTTTATATTTATCAATAACAAAAACATGCAAAATATTTTTATTGATCAATCTCGATCTCTGTTCTACGATTACGATAATTCTTAGGTA